CGCTTCTCCCCCAAATCTAGTTATTCCCGGGGTTTTCTTACTGTTGATGCAAGTTCTTGCACAGTCCAGAGCCCGAGCCCGCCATCTCCCTGGGTGTGGGCTGACGCTGCCCGTGTTCCCGTAACTGGCAGACGGTCTAACACTGTAGCCCCTCCGGGGGCATGGGGGGCACGGGGTGGGGGGCATCGCTCTTCCCAAGGGCGCTGTCTCGTCACGCTGGGACCACGTCTGTTCAGGGTCTTCCGGGGCCACAAGGCAGACGCTCTCACTGAGCAGTTTCTCTGTTTCCCTGCGCGGCTACGTCCTCTCCACGATGGTCATTTCAGTGGCCGCTGTGAGTGGATGGAGACCGGAGGTGACTAACCTCTTGTTAGGCATTGGGTTCTTCTCTGTGCCATGCCCTTATCGCTGGAGTGAGCGTTTACTGTATAAGCCATTCATTTACAGCAGCTCGCAGCGACGGCCCTCGCCACTCATCTAAGCGTATGGCGTTTATATTGACCACTCACACTTGATTATGAAATTCAATTTGGAGGAAATTAAGACATTTCTATTCCAAATAGCTCCCCGCCACCATGCTCCCAGCGCCGGACAGGCACGCCATGACGAGCCCGTTTCCCCGGAACAGCGCGGTCCGGGGGATCCTACAACCGTTTCCTTAGAAGCAGAAGCCTCACGCGCTCCTGCGGCTTCAGAGCCCAGAGAGGAACTTCAAGGGCCAGAGTCCACGCTCTCGGGGACCCGCCAGGCAAGGCCGGGGGAGACACCACGCGGGGACTGGCAGCCCCTGTGGGGCCTGTGCTCTGGGCCGGCGGGCTCCCAGGACCCAGCAGGACGTGCTCTGCCCACCTCCACCCGATGCTGGTGGCCAAGGGAGCTGGTCTCGGGCCTGAGATTTAAAGGCCCACAGGAGGCCCGTCAGGAGAGGAGTCTTGTCTCCATCGGAGGCTCGAGAAAGACAACAGGACCCGGCCTATGAGGTGGTCTCAGGGGTCCAGGAGGACCCGGGAGGGAAGCGCGCAGAAGGCAGGCTGCGGTGAGGACACAGGGCGCACGGCCTGAAGGGGGGGGCACCAGGAACAGGGTCCGTTCATTTGCCGAGTGAAGGCAGGAGGCGTGAAGGCGGGTGCCGGGAGGTTCCGTTTGACTCGTGGGTGCTCACCTGTCAAACACCCCGTTTTCTTTCGCGTCAACATCACTTCCTAATGGGAGGGATGTGCCGCCTTCCTGTGGGAGGAATTCTCAATGTGCAGGAGCTTTCTGTCCTGAGTGTGAGGAGCCTGTCAGCGGGCCACGGACAGGAAGTCACTGCAGAACCTCCCGGCCGCCCTACCCGTGCCGTGGGGACAACTCGATCCCGTTACTCAAGAAAAGGATCGGCGAGGCCCGGCCGGCGTGGCTCAGTGGTTGAGCGTCAGCCTGTGAACCAGGAGGTCATGGCTGGCTTCCTGGTCAGGGCACAGGCCCCGGATGCAGGCTCGATCCCCAGTGTGGGGCGTGCAGGAGGCAGCCGATCCATGATTCTCGCTCATCATCGATGTTTCCATCTCTCTTTCTCCCTCTCCCTTCCTCTCTAAAATCAATAAAAAATATTATTTAAAAAAAGGGTCGGCGACAACACACTGAACTGATGAGGATTCCTATTTGTTACCATCGTTTTTACTTACAAGGAAATGATTTCTATCATTAGCAGCTCCCTGTAAAACAGAAGAGCTGAGGACTTTTGATTATTATTATGATGATGTTGCCCCTGGCCATTAATTTTTCTGATTTGCTCTATTAGTGTGATGGTTGGGCCCAAGACTCGGGGTATCTTTCAAACCAGCAGACTGAGGTAAGAAAATTATTTCGGTGCAGTTCCTGGCAAGCCGTGATGATGAATAGTGTGGCAGGACAAACTTATTCAGACACACATTTTTCAGGAGTGGCAGGGAAAAGGCTGAAAAATTACTAGTAAATTGCTTTTTGTAAAAATGCTCTCCCTTTCCAATTTCCCCTCGCGCACGGTCTTCTGCGGGAAGATGGCGCCGCGTTCTCCCGGAGCTGGGCCGCCGGGGCAGGTGAAGGATGGACAGGAGCTGCGAGTCAGGGTTACCATTTAATCTTCTTGCCGGACTCCCACACTCTCCCCCACACCGGGTCTGTCGTGTGCATCTTTTTAACCAGGGGGGTAAGTGCCTCTAGAGCAGCGGTTCTCAACCTGTGGGTCGCGACCCCTTTGGCGGTCGAACGACCCTTTCCCGGGGGTCGCCTAAGACCATCCTGCATATCAGATATTTCCATGACGATTCATAACAGGAGAAACATGACAGTTATGAAGTAGCAACGAAAATGATTTTATGGTTGGGTCACAACACGAGGAACTGTATTTAAAGGGCCAGAAGGTTGAGAACCACTGCTCTAAAAGATACGTATTGTTGCCCTGGCTGGTTTGGCTCAGTGGAGAGAGTGTCGGCCTGCAGACTGACGGGTCCCAGGTTTGATTCCTGGTCAGGGCACATGCCTGGGTTGCAGGCTCAATCCCCAGTGGGGGGGTGGGGGGGCGCGTGCAGGAGGCAGCCGATCCATGATTCTCTCTCATCATTGATGTTTCTATCTCTCTCTCCCTCTCCCTTCCTTGCTCAGAAATCAATAATTTTAAAAATAAGTAAGTAAATAAATAAAAAGATACATAGTGTCTGTCCTTAGCAGCACTCCTCCGGAGAAGTCCAGGCCCCCGCAGGGCAGCCCAAAAGGTCTGTCATCAGGCGGGCGGGGCGGGGTGGCCGGAGCCGGATCTAGTCCACTCTCCGGGCTCACGTCCCTGAGCCCCTGACCATGCCTTTCGGGGCACCAGGCTCTGATGCCAGGGCCCTGCACACCTCAGATCCTCCCGGCGGCCTTCTCCTGGGACACATGGGGAGGTGGGAGCAAATGCTCAGTCCACAAACAATACACTTAACTCTCTTCTCAACCCTCAAAAAAGTCCTTCCACACGCAACTAACAGCTGCGGGTCTGCCGACCAGCGCGAGCGAAGGCGTTTCCCCCTGGTGTCCCTGGGAGGAGCCCGGGGCCACCTGCATCTTTTTAGCGGCATTTAATAATTCAGCCCAAGATGAATTTGCATGATGAACAAGCATAAAGCCGCGTGATTTTATTTTCTCTCAGGATTTAAAGACCGAAACCACCACCATTGTTTTCATTTTCAGGGGTTGTCATCAACACACAAAACTTGATTCCAGAATGAATCTTTTTTTTTTTAAGTATTTTCAAATACCACTCTGGATGGAATCGGGGTGGGGGGGGACGGCGGGGGGGGGAAGGGCGGCTAACGCGGCCTTTGCAGACTCAGGGAAGCCGCGCTGGTTCGTGGCTGGTGCTAACCCCCCGGGGCCAGCCGCACCGCGACTTGTCCTTCATGGTCCCCTATGAAGTGGGGGCCCACTCTCCCCCGGCGTCCCGAAAGGCTAACGTAAATAGACTTATTCAGTTCCTCAACGTGGGGCTCTCCACGTTTATCTGATCAGGAGCGCTAGACAGTCCAATAAAAGGCCTTTAAGAGAAAACAGCAATTCCCTTGCATTCCAGTAATAGATTAATCACGTCACCCTCAAAAAATAGTAAAAACCCAAACCAGATAAATCGCATTTGGAGGACCATCTGCCTGGGAAGCGGAGCTGTGCGCGTGGGAACGGTAATTTGCAAGGCAGGAGCGGCGCGTCCCTGGGTCTCGTGATGAACACAGTGAAACGGGTTTGTCTAACGGGGAGCACGCGTTTCGATCAAAGGAAAAGCGAGCATCTCCCACGTGGACGAGGAGGCAGGCGTTAGGGTCAGACCACTTCAAGCTGTGCCTGCCGGCGATGCAGGGCCCATCACAGGCCACCTCACCTGTTTAAAAATAACCAGGAAGCCCAGCTGGCATGGCTCAGTGGTCAGGGTTCGATTCCCAGTCAGGGCACATGCCCGGGTTGCCAGCTAGGTCCCCAGTAGGAGGTATGCAGGAGGCAGCCGATCAATGATTCTCTCTCATCACTGATATCTCCCTCTCTTACTCTCTGCAATCAATAAAAATCTATTTAAAATAAATTAAGCTCTAGCTGGTTTGGCTCTGGTTTGGCTCAGTGGCTAGAGCATTGGCCTGCAGACTGATGGGTCCCGGGTTCGATTCCGGTTGAGGGCACGTACCTCAGTTGCAGGCTTGAGCCCCAGCCCTGGTTGGGGCGCATTCAGGAGGCAACCAATCGATGTATTTCTCTCACATGGATGTTCCTCTCTCTGTCTCTTCCCCTTCCCTTCCACTCTCTAAAAATCAATGGGAAAATATCTTCAGGTGAGGATTAACAACAAAAAATAAAATAAAAAGAATTAGGAATCACCAGGAGGCGGGCATGGCCCTGCCCCGGTCTGTGCCACCCTGTGTGCGGTGCCGTCTGTCGCACTGACGCCTCTGTTGATGTCTCCGCCTGCAGGAACCATGGTCAGCAAGGACGCGGGCCAGTGCGCACTCACGACCTCAGAGAGCGACGTGGAGCCCGCCGCCGGCCTGGCCCTGGAGATGAAATACGCCCTGGACCCCAACCGGCAGATCAAGAAGCGGAACAAGGCCCTGCAGGTGCGGTTCAAGGACATCTGCGAGGCGCAGATCGAGCAGCGGGACACGCAGCTGGCCGCGGGGCCGGCGGCCGAGAGGCGCGAGGCCAGGGCCGCGTCCTACCGGGCGGCCTACCGCAAGTACATGACGGTGCCCGCCCGCCGGTCCATCCCCAACGTCACCCGGAGCACCGGCGTGCAGACCTCGCCGGACCTGAGGAAGTGCTACCAGACGTTCCCTCTGGACCGCAAAAAGGGGACCCTCAAAGGCCTCCCGGCCGCGGACGCCTTTAAAAGTCAGAACAACGGGTTTGCCATCGACGCGAAGGAGAGGAGCGAGGCGGGGCCCGGGGCGGAGGCCGTGCCCTGGGCGGCGGGCCGGGTGCAGAAGACGGCCGCCCTGGTGTTCCGCTCCCACCAACACATGGACGTGCTGGTCCAGCCCACGGGGCTCAGCTGTGCGGAGCTGTGCAGGGACCCTGGCGGGCACAGCTGCCCGGGCAGAGCTCACCAAAACGCCCCCCGGCCTCCCTCCCAGGAGCCCGCCCACCAGCGGTACCGGACAGCCAAACCGGACCGGGCCGCACCGGACACGGAGGAGCCTGCTCCCTCGGCCCAGGGCCGGGTGTTTAAAACGGAGGTGGCCGCCGTCTACGCACCTGCCCCCGGTGCCACGGCCCCCGAGCCCGCCTTGTCTAACTCGGCCGCCACGAGCCAGTGGTCCCTCTGCCCCGCGGAGGACGAGGGACGGGGCAGGGCCGCCCATCTCAACGGGCTCCAGGCACCCCCGACGCAGTGCCTGTCCCCCGAATGTAGTGACCGCGCCCCGCAGCCTCCGGCCCCCTTGGGGCGGGAGCACCAGCCTTGCCCGGCAGGGGCGGCCGGGGGTGAAGAATGCCAACAAACCGTGCCTCCCACGGAAGTGGTGGACCTCAAGGCGCAGCTGCAGGTGATGGAGACCCTGATCAGCTCCAGCCAGGAAACCATCAAAGTGCTCCTGGGGGTCATTCAGGAGCTGGAGAAGGGCGAGGCCCACCGCGAAGGGTACGTATGCTCGCGCGCCTCTTACCGCCCTGCGGACGCCTCACCCCGGGCCCCTCGGTCGCCTGGCCCGCACCGGGAGCAGGCTCAGTCCGCACAGAGCAAGCCCGCGGGCACAGGCGGGTTCGACACCAGGCCCCGCTGCATGCGCGCCTCCTAGACCGCGGCGGGTTAGCTCTCCGCCAGCTGCCCGCCTGCACTTCACACCGCCCTTACTCTCTGGAGGCGTGGACGGCTCTGCTCCTTTATGTCCGAGGGCTAAGGGTTGATGGCGATGAGGAAGGACAGCTGTGCTGGTCCCGACATGGGCATTGCCTGCCCTTAGGATAGGAGAGGAAGGAAAGACTTCGGGTGGCCTTTTGGAAAGCAAGTGCTGCCTCTCTTATATGAGTAACGGGAATAGCGCTGGTATTCAGGCCTGGACAGGTTTTATGCGTTTCCTTCCCTCCCTGCCACCCAGAGAAGCAGTCCCCGTCCGCAGACAAGCCCTGTCCGTGTGCGACGGGAGAGAGCTGCCTCCCGCACGCACTGCCCCCCACACCCAGATGTACAGGGAACAACACCATTAACAGCCACACGGCCTGGTATTGGTAACAGATGCTGAACTTTGTTGGTTTGTGGCTTGTTTGTTTTTATAGATTTCAGAGAGGGAGAGAGAGAGAAACATCAATGAGGAGAGAGAATCATGGATCGGCTGCCTCCTGCACGCCCCACACTGGGGATCGAGCCTGCAACCCGGGCCTGTGCCCTGACCAGGAATTGAACTATGACCCCACTGAGCCATGCCAGCCGGGCTAGATGCTGAACTTTGGTTCCCATGTTGTGAACTTGAAATTGGGCAAATTTGAAAACAAATGAGTGAAAGCTAGGATGCTAGTGTTGAGCCTGGCTGGGCAGGCTGTGGGGGGGCGGGTGCCGGGCAGGCCGTGGGGGGCGGGCAGGCTGTGGGCAAGGTGCCGGGTGCAGGTTCTGCCCTGGGCTTCTGGCCTCTCTGGCTTCGTGCGGGGCCGTCTACAGAAGGAGCTACTCCTCATTCCGCCTCCTGTTCCACAGCAGGGTTTGCAGTCCCTGGGCGAGAGCAAAACGCATTTCCAACCAGAGGCGGTCTCCCAGGAGATCCTGAGTGACCTGCGTTAAAGGTTTCCAACAGGCCTCCCACCTCCATGTCCGCCCATTTCAGTCCTTTAGACTTGAGCACGGACACACGCCAGGCCTAACACCAAGGGGTCCCCGGGCGTGTCGGTCTGTAGGCCACAGGCCCACATCTGTCCCTCAGACCCTTCGTTTCCTCCTCCCCTCCCAGCCCTCTGGACTCAGATAACGAAAAAGCAGGTGGCTGCAAACTCCAAGGCCGCCCGGCAGGTGACCCTCGTGCCCAGTGCCCAGGCCATTCATCTGGTCCAAACTCAGGTTCCCACCCCCCTTTCCAAGTCGGGATGTGGGAGAGGACCAGCCTCAGGGAGCTCCCCGTGGACCCTCTCCAGGCGTCGGGCAGGGAGACAGGGGCTGATGCTTCCTTAGCGGCTGGCGTTGGGGCGCGGGGGTTGGGGGGTGCATCTGCTGATTTCCTTGGTGTATTTCCACCAGCGCCCAAAGCCCTGCACACTGGACATCCCAGTCCTCTGAGCATGGGCTGTGAGGGGCACGCTCCAGGACCCTCACTGCAGGGGGAGGACCCCCAGGAATGTCCATCTGAGCCGGGAAACCGGTGCTTTCGCTGCATCCCAGGGTAGAAAACAGGAAAGTCCCTCTACTTTATGTAGATGATCATACGTTATGTAACGCGATGCAGGATTTCACGGCCAAGTTCAAATATCAATGGCGTTTTCCTTGGGAAACACACTGTAGTTTATAATGAGAGTGGAGGAGGCTCAGGAGCCGGGTAAAATCAATTTCTCCCCCCGTTTCACCCCCCCCTCCCCCTCCTCCCCCTTTCCCCTAGCCTGGAGGGCCTGCTTGGTACAGAATCTCACCTCCTTAAGAGCAGCCAGGGAGGCAGGCAGCTGGTGTGCCCCTCAGAGCCGTGACTTTGAATCGAGTGAGAAATCCTGCCCCATCCACTCGGCACAGCAGCTGCAGCAGGCCCGCGGGCCCTGGTCTCTGCTCTCGGGCACATGCTCACACGGGACGCAGTGCCTTTGATCTGGGCAGGTGGCCGTGGGCCAGTGCCTGCTGCTCGGAGCGCAGCGAGCTGCTCTTCACAGGGGGCTGGTGTCTGCAGCCTCAGGAGCGGGCTGTGCAGACGGCATGGCTGGGCTGGGGGGCCGCTCGCTGCAGCAGTGCCTGCTCTGAGCGGGGGCATCTCGAGCGCGGCCACTTGGAGGAGCTTCCAAGTTATTTTGCATGAGAGGCCGAGGCAGGAATCTCATGACTGGTGTAGAGCTCCGAGCGGCTCAGCCGGGAGGTGTCCATCTCAGGCCAGTGCCCACCCCATCACAGAGGGATGGTGGGGCGCTCCTGGCAGGGACAGGCCGCCACGGCGCTGAGGGAAGGGCCTTCCCTCACCTGGCGCTCCAGGGCACGCACTCCGTATGTGGGCAGAGGTGGACAGTATGCAAAAACCTGCCTTTTAGCCCCTTGTAAAGTGTCCGGGCAATTCACGAAAATCACTCCCTTTAGGCACAGCGCGGGGAGCTCCCGACGCTCCGCTGGCGGGGCTGCCAGGAACGGCCCTGCCTGCTTCCCAGCGCCCGGCATGTCTCTTCCCAGGAAGCTCAGGGTCACGGAGGCCACCAACATAAGCCACTAACGGAGGCGTTGCAGGCTGCCAACCACGCACACGGGCACTGAGTCTAAAAACCCAACCAAGTCCTGCGGCCGCCGTCACCCCCCCGAGCAGCGGTGGGTGCTGGGCAGGAGACGGAGACCCCAGGCTGCAGACCTCGTGCTCACGGGGCTGCTCACCGCAACGGGGACGTGGCACTCGGCGGGAGACGGCTCTTCGCTCCGCACCCCACGCATTAGTGTGTGACGGGTTCGATGGCTGGGGACAGCCTGTGGCTCTGCTTTCGGGGAAGACCTGACACCACGTGAGAGGCTGGCTTGGAGCTCCCGGCATGGGGTCAAGCCTCTCCCAGCAGTTACCTGCAAGCGTGGGGGGGGAGGGGGAGGGGGCTCAGCAGAACCCTGGCCACTCGGGGGCCCTAAACGTGCCGCATGGGCAGAGACGAAATCCTGAACCTGGCGGGGAGGCGGCGGGGGGGGGGGGGGGGGTTGCAGTTTAGATGAGTGAGACGTCCGTGACGTTACCCTGTGACACACGAGCAAGGTCCAGACCTCCCAGCGTCACGTGTGTGCGAAGGGACTTGCTTCCACCGAGAAACGGACGCTGGGTGGACAGAAATGACCACCTGATTTGCCTCGAGTTCTCCGTGCCGACCACGCAGAGGCAGGTGCCCCTCAGACCTCATCACCCGACTCCCAAGCCCACGCGGAATCAAGGCCGCACCACCGCTCCGGAGACAGCGGAGGGGACAGTGGAATCTGTTTAAGTCAGAGAGCAGAAGCGAAATGCTCCAACAGCAACAAGGCAGAAGATACCCTACCACAGAATCGGCAATAGAGTCACCCGGAACTCACCAGCCCCCCCCTCCAAGAAAAGCCCCCCTGTTCAAGGACGTCCCGGTCACTCTTGCCAAAACATACCACCTTAATTCAGATCCCGTCTCCCCCCGGTTAGCTGCGGCCGGCCGGATTTCCGAGAGGGGGAGGGGGTGACGTTAGTCTCTCACTCGCCTCCTGGTGCTGCCAACGGCCCCAGGGGCCTTCTCTGCAAGGCTGCTTCTCCGGCGTCTGGCTCCATGCAGCTCCGAGAAGCAGGCCAGTGAGCAGCAAGGAGACAGCAGCCCGCCGGTGGGATCAGAAGCAAGAGGGTCCTGCCCTGCCAGCTGCACTCCATCCCTCCCCCTCCCTCTCTGAGCCCCTTTCCTGATGTTCGAGATGCAGCCATGTCTGTGTCTCTGCACATTTGCTGTAACCCACACAGCTGACAACCTTCCAGCTGGCCACTGCGGCTGCTCCTGGGCACTGGCTTGTCCAGGTGCCCAGTGAGATGGAGGAGGGGAGCCGAGTGGAAGGATGGGGCTCAGCTCCGAGTCGGCCACTCTGTCCCGCCTCCTCCGCTAACTGCTGGGCAGGGTTACTCACCTCTGGAACATCAGCCTCTCACTCCGTCAAAGAGCTCAGAGTGCCTGCCTCCCAGGCTTCTCTGGGGATGGAATGAAACGCAGCAGACAGGGCGCTCGGTCCAGGACCACCGTGCTTCCTTCCTTGTTACTTTGTTACTTCCTAGTTATTGTTACTTTGTTACTTCCTAGTTATTTTGTTACATTGTTACTTAGTAGTTATTGTTACTTTGTTACTTCCTAATTATTGTGCTACGTTGTTATTTCCTAGTTGTTTTGTTACTTTGTTGCTCCCTAGTTACTTTGTTCCTGCCAAGTGCTCATGCCGGAGGCTAAGCATGCTGAGTACCTTCAGAGGTGCGGTCTTGCTTCAGTATAGAGGCTGCTTTATTCCCGAGGGTTGGGAGGGGTTGAGGATCACAGAACGGAGGCGTCGAGCTTTGTGCTCGTTTTCAGAGAAAGGTGCAGGACAGGTTTATTTGTTGTCACGGACAGAGCCGCTGGCATAGAGCCAGGACACATGGGTTGGACGCGGCTCACCCTGGCCCAGCCTCCCTGAGCTGCATGTTCCCATGTTACAGAGAACGGCCCCCCTGAGAGGAGGCACCTCAGGCTTCTTTCTGCTCTAAAGACACATTTTCAGAAACACATTTTCAGAGATGTCTAAGAAATCATAACTTCAGCCACTGCCTGAGAACACTCACAAAGGTTTACACACACACAGAGAGAGAGAGAGAGAGAGAGAGAAAGAGAGAGAGAGAGAGAGAGAGAGAGAGAGAGAGAGGAGGGAAGGAGCCCTTGCTACAGATGTCCATCAATAAATGCACAGCGATCGGATCCCACAGCTCTGTTCCTTGTTCTCCTCTCCACCCCTCGCCCATTCCTCATCCTTCCACCACCATCCATGACAGGGTTGGCCTCTGTCCTTTTCTTCTTTTGCTGCTGCAACGGATGACTTTGGTATATCTGTGATAACATATTCCATTTCTAAAGTCCAAGTGTGTGTTGTCATTTCTGATGCCTTTGAAATGGAAGCCCGCATCCTATTCTTTCTAGCATTTTCTTCCTTTCATGCACAGGGCCACGGGGAGTCTTCTCCGTAGCTTGTGTTTGTATAACTTTGTAAACACTATTTTTTAAGTTCCTGAAAAATAATAGCCTTCCCACTTTTAATGTGAAAAATGAAGCCAATATCTTGCTCAGACTATAAACCACGTTCCACATTCTTGCTTTGGGCTCCATGTAGGATCACACACGCTCGGAAATGTAATTTAAATAATCTCGCCCCGCAGAATGCCAATGCCGATTCCAAACGCCTCCCCAGCCTCTGAGGTTGGCAGGTAAACAGAGCGGACGCCCATCTGCCGGCGAATGAGCGACGCCAGGCATGACATGAGCGATTACGGAATTTATGCATTTGTGTCCTAGAATTCAGGTGTTTTTTTTTTTAAAGGGATGAAATGCAGGTTCTAGTTTTCCATGCTATTTAAAATCCCGTGCAGTTTCCACTGAGCTCTGCACAGTTTATCATTCCCAGCGGATCTGGGGGAGACGCCCTGGGAAATGTGCCTCTGGGCCGAGCACCCACAAAGCTCCCCTCTCCTCAGCGCCCCCACGTGCCAGCCATTCTGCACCGTCTTATTTCATCTTCACAACACGCGGCCAGGTGGGAAGGATCTCCACAAGGAAACGAAAGGGTACGCCAAGTGCCGTTCCCCGAAGTCGAAAGGCGGGTGAGAAACGGGGAGGAGAGAATTCCCATCCACACCCCTCAGGCCCAGGCTCCCCTGCTCCCCTTCTCGGGAAACGGGCGCGCTGGTGTGTGTAGAGAATTCAAAAGTGGGCCCTTCGGTGGTCACTGCAGGTCTGGGCTCCTCCTCCTGCTGGAAGGGGCGACGAGGCCCCGCACCCCAGACCTGGTGCCGTCCAGGCAAACATGTTCTGGAGAAAGCCAATGCTCAGGGCTGGAGACCCAGACACTCGCACTGGACGGGATCCAGAAATAACGCCTGTTCCTAAGGAGTCCTCGTCAGCGAGGGGAATGCCCTGGGGGAAGGATTTCAGGAAAAGCAAGGACATTGACCTTGAAGCAAAGGGACCTGAGGGCTCAGGACAAAGCCTGCCTGTGAGCAGCCTGCCTAGGTCGCCACCCCGGGCCCCGCCGTACTGTCTGCCATGTGGTGCTCATCCAGTGCCGCCTGCACCGTTGGCTCTGACTTCAAGTGCACGTCCACGGTCATGTGAGCAAGAGGAAGGACCGTTCCCCACGCAACATGAAAATAAGCACCCGTGATCTGAAAGGTCATAGTTGAAAGTATATTCATATTTGGATCATCATTTCCTAGGCAATGATGCTCTGACGACGGGCATATTTTGACTAAAAATGGAGTGAAAGTTTTTCTATTGATATTTCATTAGTTACAGCAATTGGTTTTCTCCCCAGATTAAAGTGTCACCATTGGTGCCTGGCTGACGTGGCTCAGTGGTTGAGCGTCGACCTATGAACCAGGAGGTCAGGGTTCAATTCTCGGTCAGGGAACATGTCCCGGTTTGGGGTTCAATCCCCAGTGTCGGGGGTACAGGAGGCAGCCCATCCATGATTCTGTCTCATCATTGATGTTTCTACATCTCCGTCTCCCTTCCTCTGTGAAATCAATAAATATATATATATATGTGTGTGTGTGTGTGTGTGTGTGTGTTTAAAAAGTGTCGCCATTACGATGACGCCAACATTGAAACAGTTTCTTCTTCAGCTACAAGAGCTCGGAGACGATTGTTGAAAAAACAAACGCAAAGTCAGGCTTTTGGGACAAAGTTAAGCCCTGATTGAAACCTGTTAACTAAGCTGCTCAAAAGAAAGCCCCTCAAAAGCCAGGATCAGTCGGATAGCAGCCTCTGTGATGCTTCCCATGGGGACCGTGGCAAAGGCACAGTGACGCTTTCACATTAAAAGCTCTGTGAGCGGGCCCGCAGGTGACAGTGCGGAGCTGACGGAAAACCCAGCCCCGAGAGGAGCGCCTGCTTCCGTGCGGGACGCTCCCCGGCCTCTTTCCCTCCTCGCTGGGCAGCCAGTGCCACCCAAACTCATTCCCACTCGCTGTCAATACGTTAGAGCTGAAACCCTCTCTCTCCTCCAGGAAAAAAACAAGCTCATCACCGCAGCCTCGGCTCAGCCCCACCAAGTCCTTCTCCTCATGAGCAGCCACTCCCGGGGCCTCTGGGACGAGGGACTTGGCGTGACTGTCATCCTTTTGCAACTTAGAGTTGCCTTGGTTTCGGAGCGGACAAAGGAAGTGGAAGCTTTGCCCGCTGTGATACAACCGGCCGACCACGCGCAAAGTGATGCCGGCTGTCGCCCCGGGTCTTACCTATTGATTTTATATCAGGAAACATGACTGTGCTAAGCACAGAGTCCTGCCCTAATAGCAGGCTCATCTCCTTCCGAATCTGCATGCCCTGCTGACAGTGACATGTCTACGCCCTGGTAATGACACAGTCTGTCTTCTTGTCACGTCACTCAGGCCTGTGGAGCGGGCAGGGAGGGGAGCGGGGCCAGAGGGGAGGCAGAGCTCAGGAGACCGGTGCTGGGGGTGAGGTGCTGGGGTGAGGTGCTGGGGTGAGGTGCTGGGGTGAGGTGCTGGGGTGAGGTGCCGGGGTGAGGTGCCGGGGTGAGGTGCTGGGGTGAGGTGCTGGGCGCATCATTTGTAAGTAATTTGTTTGGACCTCAGCACACTTTCCAATAAGCCGAAGTTATAGGTGGTGGTGGGGTTCCCAGGCCAGCCCCCCAATTTTTTTCGGCTGCATTTCGACTTGGAGAGCTCTATAAAATCTAAGTCATGTTCCTAGGAGGGACTCCCTTCAACACAGGTTCCACGAATAGGTCTCCCTTATGGGGTCACCTAAGGGACAAGTACTTTATGCACCTTCAGAACCGGGAGGAGTCCCGGGTGACGGGGGGACAAGACATGCTGACGTGTTTCAATCTCAGTGAGAGCTCTGCCTCCGACCGGAGATCCCGGAGGGATCGGGGACCAGTGGTTCACGGACTGGCTTTATCGCCTGACCGCCCACCTGCAGGCAGAGAGACAGGAAGAGAAGCCAGGCCCTGCAGGAAACGATCGTGACAGCTGGTTACATTTCTCTACAAGCAAACACCTCAGCGATTACTACACAGCGAGGCGAAGGCAGGCACGGCTCTGCCCTATTCAAGGTTCTGCACAAAATACACGTTTTATGTGGAGAACAAAGGTCAGACTGAGGGTCCTCGACCTCCTGGTTTAGCTTTCACTTGCTCTTGCATTCATCACTCTGTGCCTCCCCAAACCTTCCCTGACACCTCCCCACGACGGGCACCCCAAAGAGGGGGGTCACTGTTACTTTGTTCCTCAAAACACAACCTCAATTAAAACAAACAAATCGCTTTGTCTGCCTGGGGACCCCCGGCCACTAAGGGACACAGAGCTGCTGTGCCTGTCACAGAGGGTCCGCCGCCGGCTGAAGACGCCTCCAGTTGGCGCCCGGGAGACGGGGGACGGTCCTACTCTCACCAGGGAGCGCCAGTACTGCCTTCCATTGACCAATCGATGACCTCGAGTTTGTTAGGAAAATCGATGTCTGATTGTTTTAACAAGGTGAGCTCAGAGGTTCCCCAAACCCCGTCATGAATGGTGCGCGGGACAGATGAGCCGTCGCATGTGCACGGATGTATGGGGAGGGCCTACATGCACTCGCTACTGAGGAGCTGGTGCTGAAGAGACCACACTTCCAGGGCACAAGCTGGCAAATTCCTAGTGAGAACCCAGACTCAGGAACCAGCCCAAACTACAGCTGGGGTGGGTGGGGGGGGACGGAGTTGCTCAACCCCTGGGAGGGGTCACGGAAAACAGCTATGACGTTTAATTCCTCCCAACAACAGGAGTGGTGCCACTTTATGCCTGTAATTAATGCTGCGTTGAGCCCATTACGTGAAAAAGCCCTTGAAGAGGCTGAAATAAATGATGGCTCAGTTATCAGGACAGGGCAGCTGGCACGCGACCCGGGCGAGGCTGCGGAAGGAACAGCCGGTCTCTGGCACCAGCGAGGGTGCGGAGAGAACAAGCGCATCAGGATGAAGGGCATGAATTAAACAGGCGCACGGCCCCCTCCCTGAGCAGAGCCGCTCCCGCCGGCAGCCCCCGCCTCGCGCTGCGGCCTAACGCTCGCCTTTGCGTGAATTCGGAGCGGCGGTGCCCGTGGTCTCGGTACCCAGTGTTTTAAAGCCCACAGTTACAGGAGCGCGCCTCGATTTTACCCTTGTCCCAGGTGCCGTTTGCTGGAGACTCTACACTTGCCGAGAATCACCGTGTTGTTTACAAGAGCAGAAACTCAGCAGGGCCCGGACGCCAAGACCCGGGGGGTGCGCATGGAGAGGAGAGGGCTTCTCTGAATCCAACAACACAGGCCCCAGGGATGCGAGAAGAGGATTTTCAGTGGGGAGCCCCGACGTTTTACTAGAATGGGGAAGCCCAGGCTAGAGCTCCGCAGCCCAGGCTGTCTCCCAAACACGTCCTTTCATTGAAGAGGAGCCAGAGCTGCTGAAGAAGTCTGCCTCCCTCCCCAGCAGGAGTGGAAGTGACCTTCAAACTTGACTGAAACTGCGTAGGAAAATCAGCTGGTGCAGCGCCTCCTGCTGCAGCATATGGGGATAACCGCACCTCCACGCGCGCGTCCCTCTCTTCATTCCAGAGCTCACGCCCAGTCCCTCCACCTTCCGGTGAAGGCCCCCAAGAGCAGTGAGTGTCCCAAGGGCATCCTGCAAGGAGAGGTTCAGGGTCCCAGGTGGGTCCTGGGGTGGGAACGGTGCCCTGGAGGGATGGCGAGTGGGGTGGGGGTGGTGAGGGTGGGAGGACAAGAGTGAAGGGAACAAAAAAGTCCTGTTAGAGTTAATGCGGGCTCTGGGCACTGTCCTTGGTGCTGAAGGTTGTTTTCTTCAAGTTACAGGCATCCCTAAGACCAGAAGTCATGAGGAACAGCAAATTACAGTCACAGTGCAATAACGGGGGGGTGCTACAAAGATTGACGCGTTAAAGATCCACATTTCCCCTGAGCACGCTTCTCACTGGGGCCCAAAGGGGTTCCTGACGGGAACCAACGAGGACCGGAGCTTTTCACAATTTATACTTTTCATTTGCTTTCCGCATGCAGTTGGAATGTTTCTCATTAGATCTGTCTCTTACCGAACGTCCGTCTGAGAGCACAAAGGCCGTCTTATTTGGTCATATTAACATTAAGCGAACACCGGGGCGTGCCGGGCATGGAGGCGGGCCCCGGATGACGAACCTGTGCGCTAACGAGATTCTCAAGTCAGAAGGGAAGAGAGACTGGCCAAGGGAGCCATTCACTTGCAAGACTGAACATCATGATTTGTGATGGCAACTTTCTACCCCGGCAGCTTTCACACCAATAACCCCAGCTCCCTCTCCACACTTCCTGCCACAGACAGCGCCGGCCCTGCTGGCCCTGGAGACGCACCTGTTTGCGCCTCTTGATGACAAAGGTGATCTAGAAAGATAATCATTCCAAGTCCTGGCTTTATGGCTTGCTTCCAAGCGAGAAGCTAAAACCAGGGGAAATCCACATTTGTGCTCCCTGTCGTGTAGCAACAACTCCCCTGTTCGGTCTCTATCCGGAGAACACATCCACTCAGATGCTACAATACAATGATGAACATGACCATAAAATTACCAGCGAAGCCAACCCGACAGCTGACGATGATGCTTGGAAGCTCCAAGGACAATTAGGTGGCTCATCGAAGCGCCGAGCCAATGGACTGCAGAGGGTACGTCCTCGGGGGAGGGCGCCCTCCTGCTGAATAAAGTGTAGCAGGCCCACCGTGCCGGAGGCAGCCTGGGACGGAACCACAGGACAGAACCACAGGACAGGAGGCGACACTTGAAACTTTACTCACAAGTTAATCTCTCGCTGACCTCCCTGTCCACAAACTACTATGGACTCCAAACATTTGAATCCTCTTCACAACAGAAAGGTCCAAACGAACCCTGCGGCCCATGCCGAAGGGTCCCTCCAAGCCAAGATCATGAAACCGGGGTCCTGGAAATACCGTCAGGCCTGGCGGGAATGTGAAGGGGGGGCTTGTTGGGAAGGGGGAGGCGTGTAGGGACGGGGGAGGCGTGTAGGGACGGGGGAGGCGTGTAGGGACGGGGGAGGCGTGTAGGGACGGGGGAGGCGTGTAGGGACGGGGGAGGCGTGTAGGGACGGGGGAGGCGTGTAGGGAAGGGGGAGGCGTGTAGGGACGGGGGCTGGCGAAGGAAAAGGGAAGGTGTCACGCACAGGCTCGCCCCTCTTCCTGTCCTGCCAAAGTCCGGGGCAGAGAGAGAGGCCCCGGGCGGGTCCCGAAGGTGCCCCCAAAGGGAAGTGACGGTGGATGAAGGTCAAGGTCAACACAAATGCCACCACAGACCACCACCGCTTCTGGCTCAACCAGAAGGGGTCACAGACAGGGACGGCCACGCGCTGGGCAGAATGTGGTCCCTCGTCCCAAGCTCACGGAGACACCGGGGCGTCGAGGGGAAAATCCTTGGCCAAGTGTTTGTGTAACAGGAAATGTAACGAGGGAAACAGGCGTCGGTTCCAAGTCGGACTCCAGGGTGCGTGCAGAGGGTTGCACAGCGCGGGGGGGACATGCTGACGGCCGTGCGGACGGAAAGCCATGCGCACTGTTTCACTGCCGAGTGGCCCCACAAATGGAAACTTGCCCCACGAGGTTGGGGGGCAGAAACAGCTCTCTGGGCAGCATACGGGGAGCTGGTTTTCCCTCCGGGTTTCCTGCTAACACCATACATACAAAGCCGCACGGAAACATCCCGATCTCCCTCTGCTCATAACAAAACCAGATTATTTTCTTCATCGGCAGCTTGTGTTCACATTCCGAATGTAATTGAAACACCGTCTTAGCTGGGGCTGCTGCGCGGGGTGCAGCAACAGAGACAGGAGCGAGACGGGACACGCGTGAATCACCCATCGCCGTGAGGAGAGTGGCCACTGGGACGGCGACACAGCCCCACCTCTAACCTCTCCTGTTCTCATCTTGCAGGCTCTCCTACCGGACTGGGCAGGACACAGCTAACTGTGACACGTGCAGGAACAGCGCGTGCATCATCTACAGGTACGTTCCCTTCTCCTCGCCCCCTTGTATATGAGCGACGACGCTTGCCCACAGATGCAGGGGTCCCCGTGCTGGGAGGGTGACAGCGGTCAGGAGAGAAAGGGCATTCCCCGACCCTAATTCAGCACTTCTACCCCCGCAACCCCAGGTGTGTGGTCACGGGACCAGGGAGAGCTTGAACTCATGGATCTCGTATCTCGCGCGTGCGTCTTAGCGGTTTCACAAATTGGTAGGAGTTTGATGGCTGCTCCCTTGGGATCGGTAGTCAGGAGCCCTGCCCTGCGTGCTGCGGGGAAGCTACGGGGTGTGAGCCCTTTAGCGGGCACAGGCCAAAGGCTCTGGGTGTGCCAGGAACCCACGGGCGACTCAGGCTGCTCAGCGTGCAGTGTGTCTCCTGGGAGCTCACAGGGCGTGTGTCCGGGGCGTAACCCCCCATCTGGAGCCCCCCAGCTGGTCACCACGTCTTTGCCTTTGAAGTTCGCTTCGGTTCCTCACATCGGCAAGAAACTTCCAGCAGGCAAAGCCAGGGCAGGTTTGGGCAATAATGTAGGGTTTCGAGACATGGCCACAGCCCTCAGAGGTTCCTGTCATTTTGGTTTTTCTTTCTGGAAATGTAGTTTTCGAAAAACAAGACGTGTAAGACCTGTGATTTAGTTCATGTTAAAAAATGAAGCCGGAAGAACAATTTCAGTTGACTTGCCAAGTTACCAAGAACACTTCCAACTGTGCAGTCATCTGCCTGAAACCTAAAGGAATTCCCACCTGCCCCCAAAGCCACCTTCTAGACAGATCTCCAAAGTGACCCTGTTCTCACCCAAAGGGAGAGACGGGGACAGGGAGTGAGTGGCTTAGACATGGCAGGAGCTCGATTCCCACGGCCTTTGACTCAGGCGCGTCTCCAGTGGGGGCAGCACCGGCCAGAAGGGCCCACCAGGTCCTTTAGAAGCAGCGCCGCTCCCCGGGGCCTCGGTGACACAAGGGGCAGCACCCACAGGGAGACGTGAGCCCCAGTGGCACACGAGCCCACTCCTTCTGACAGAAGCTGTCCCAGAGGAGGCTCTGCCCCCCAGGGACCCCAGCCCAGGGCTGGAGGGAGACACGTAGAAGGGAACTGAGTCAGAGTGAAGGGCTGTCCCTGACATAATCACCTTCACGACATCAGGCCATCGGGAGATCAGGGAGGAACGGGGTGCTCACACATGTCCTCGGGGTTCACCTTTTGCTGCTCTGGGAGCTAACGCTGAGACACAGAGCAGACGTGAGCCCCGGTTTCCCCGAGAAGGCTCGGAGTGCGTGGCGAGCCCACACCCATTTACCATTCCGTGCGAGATGGAGAAAGAATTTATTAGAACACTCTGCAGTGTAGCCAGAGACATCTGAATACATTTGGCTCTAAATCCAGGAGGAACATACATAAAAGGCGACTTCACAGCCTGCGGAGAGCAGGGATTTCTCTTTCTCGGGAATTACCCTGGAGTGGTTACTATTCAGAACCGGCTCAGCCGACCTCCTGGGCGACTCCCTCCCACCAGCCACCGGCCCGCGTTCTGGAGAACCTCGAGTGCCCAGCACACGGGAACAGGCCAGAATTATGCACAGGGACCTTTGTATCACGTGTACCCTCGGGACTATGCAGTTGGTGACGCGCATCTTCAGGAGCTGCAGGGAGCTGAGCGGGAGGACCCCGGGTCAGCCCAGGAGCAGTGCTTCCCGGGGGTGGGGGTGGGGCAGAGAGTGCCTGCAGGGTCAGGGCTCCCCTTCAGGACAGTGTTTCAGCATCTCCCCGTCAGTGATGATAACACAGCATTGTCCCCCAGCCCCGCCTTCTGCTGTGGACAGACGAGGCCATAAAATAATGCCACTAACAAGTGGCTGGAATTCAGGGCTGACATTCCTATGGGAAAGGCCTCTGCTCGCCTCAATTTTAGACCGAATGGAAGCAAGAAGGAAAAGATCAAAATCACGCAGATTCCGGCTCATTAAACAGGATCTTCACCAAAATGTAAGATCTCCCTGTGAAGAGCGAGAACTCCTACCCTTTGTGACAGGAGCCGCGGTGACTGCCCCTCCAGGAGCCCACGCCGGCCTGAGAAAAAGGTCATGGTGCGGCGGGAGACGGCGCGCTACAGTGAACCGTGCAAGGGCCCTGCGGGGAGGAGTTCGGACAGGACGGAGGGGGTGCAGCGTGGTGATGGTGCAGACTCCCAGGGAAGAAGGGTGACATGCGGCCCAGCTGTGAGGGAGGAGCAGGAGTTTTCGAGAGTCTCAGGGTTTATGATGGCGCCTCTGGTAACCTGCCCTGTTAGGCAGGGGAGGGGTGTAGGGCCCCGCTGGCCTGGCTGCCCACTGCAGGCACTCCCCGCCCCCCACGCCCCTCCAGGACTCACCGCTTGGGCTGCAGCCTCTTGTAATGGAGAAGTGCCAATAGGAATCAACTCGATAGATAAAGTCCAGTCCTTCCGTTAACAAGGGCTCAGATTAGATTTCTCTGTGATTACATGGCTCCGCGGTGTGATAAATTGGTTAATAACGGGATTCCCAGTGTAGTTACTTAATGGGAATTCGATAATTACAGGCACCCAGAGCCGTCGTGCTGGCCAGGGAGCCTAATGATCACACCACGCGGGGCTCCTGCCGTGGTTAGGATGTGGGGGACACGCTTTCAACGTTCACCAAGCGCCCCGGGAAAATCACTGCTTGCCCGTCGTGCCGTATCGGACACGGCATCTCGCAGACGCGGCAGCGAGGTTCTGTTTCTTGTTAAACATCCGTGAAGAACCCCCCTTAGGCATTACCCTGATCGCTGCCAGCTCCTTTTCTCACTGCAGAATTGATGGGCAGCTGATAAGAAGGAGAAAATAAGGTTTGAATTCCATGTGACAGTTTAGAAAACTTTTTCACCTGCTTTTATTTTTGGGGAGATGGAGGGGTGAGGGATCCTTACCTAATTCAGGGAGACAGTCGGGGCAGTAATGATTATATCCCTTGAAGTGAAGGAAACTAAGCCCTAAGGAGGATAAGGTGCTTAGAGGAGCCCCCTGAACCCCCCAATGTCGACAGGACAGATCCCGTGTTTCTACAGCCCCTGATAAAGGACCTGAGGGCTGTCCTCTCGAATGCAGCGCGTTCTGAGATTCGCACCTTTCACTACTGTCCTTAGAGCATATGCCCACTGTCACATGATCCAGGTGAGGAGCTATGTCCACTGTCACATGATCCAGGTGAGGAGCTATGTCCACTGTCACATGATCCAGGTGAGGAACTATGTCCATTGTCACATGATCCAGGTGAGGAGTTATGTCCACTGTCACGTGATCCAGGTGAGGAACTATGTCCATTGTCACATGATCCAGGTAAGGAGCTATGTCCACTGCCACGTGATCCAGGTGAGGAACTATGTCCATTGTCACATGATCCAGGTGAGGAGCTAGGTCCCCTGTCACATGATCCAGATGAGGACCTATGTCCCCTGTCACATGATCCAGGTGAGGAACTATGTTCACTATCATGTGATCCAGGTGAGGAGCTATGTCCATTGTCACGTGATCCAGGTGAGCAGGACATAAGTCCGTGAAGTCTGCCTCTACCCCCTGTAAACAGCAGCAGAACTCAGAGGCCTTTCGGAATGAGGGCAAACACTCCTTCTTGTCATGGGAGCAGGGGGCAACTGGCCATCAACTTCTTGGCACTATTTTTAACTTTTTCCGTAATAGTACATAGTCTCTGACAATAAGAAAAATGGAATGGCGGACGTAAAACCCAAAATGGTCCATTCCATGGGCCTCGAGCTTGTGTTTAGAACTGCAGGTAACACAGCTTGGCTGTTTCTTTCCACAATGTCAGAATCTGTCTAGGATTAATGGACCTCTAAATCAATAGGGCTTCATGTTTATAAATGGGTTATGGCTCCACTGGATATGAAATGCTGGGAGCTCATGTGTTATCATGGTCACTGAACCTTTACTGAAATCTACTGACATTTAGCCGGGCATCCAGGCCACACGCGGAAGGGGCACCGAGCGGAGCTCTCCGGGGCCTGGCGGGCGTGACGCAGGGTCCGACTCGAGGATGCCAGGGGCACAGGGGAGGCGGGCGGAGGGGACACCAGGCTCGGCAATGCGGGATCCTTACGGAAAAATTACACTGGGCCCGGGGTCCGGTCCCAAGACCAAGGGGACCGTAAAGAGTTAGTGAAGGTTAGGGCATCGACCTTGGTCTTTTCAACACGAAGAAGGCAAGATGCATTCTCGGAAGAACTTTCCTAAGAAACAGCATCTCCTTGAAACAGCCCTCTCTGATCCCGCTCTCACACGCATCAGCACGGCTGTCCTCCCACAGCGCTGCATGCGTGCACACGATGGCTTCGGCGATGCCATGACAATTTGGGGTTACTTTTCAGCAGACACTCAGTACACCACAGGGAGGTACAGTTTTTGCCTGAAAAACTGCCTTCGGTAACTGTAAGGTTCCAAGGTGTTGGCGGGATGAACAGCCACCTTCGCCCACGTCGGCATCTCGGGTCTTCCGTCTTCAGGCGGCTCGGACTTTACAAGAGAACGGAACCAAGGCCTTTCATTCGCCGACTGATTCAGGTGAGAAATGGTTTCCGTGACCTTGGGAAAGTGGCCCAGAACAGAGCTCGCACCCGGCACGTGTGTGCTGAGAGGCCTCCTGAACACGCAGACCTTCAGTGACCTATTTATCCCGCGTGCAGTCCACGGACGAGCCAAAGGGTTACTCCGACGCCATGTTCTCCATTCCAGCGCGTTACAGCCACGCGCCACGTACCCACGGGGGTGCGTCCGAGAAGCGTGTCTGTGGGCAACTCCGTCGTTGTGCGAACATCGTAGTGCGCTTACACAAACCTGGCTGGTACCCCTCCTGCACACCTGGGCGACATGGCCTGGCCCATGGCTCCCGGGCTCCACGCCAGCACAGCATGTCACTGTACCGAACGCCGTGAGGTTAAATCAGGCACAAGAGGAGAGGATGCAACCAGAGGCGCGGTGAACACGAGGCTGCTGCCAGCGTCACACACTGCTTTTCACAGACAACACTTTTCATGAGTAGGAAGAGCCCTCTAAAGCATCGATGAGATGTCTAGGGCAGCAAAGCATAAGCCAGCAAAGCCACGTGGTCACTCATGGCCATTATCAAGTATCATGTACATAACTGTGTGGGGTGCACTTTTATATGACGGGCTGGGCAGGGGTGCCGACACCACATCCCCACAAACAGCTGGGTACCTGCTTGCTGTGATGGCTACGGCGTCACTAGGCAACAAGAGGGGTCAGCTCAGCCTTCACCCTCTGGACCATCGTCCCACGTGCGGCCATCCTTGACCGAGACGCCATTATGCAGGACTGGACGTACTTGACGCCAGCTGTGTGTGTTGGCACCTCAGAGGTTCAGAGTGAAAGCAAATCAGTTGTTTTTCTAGGAAAAGAAATCTATTTGAAATACAATCGACCCTGAACAACACAGGTTTGAACTTACAAGCAGATTTTTTTTTTTCAATAAATACCATGAGTGTATTTTTCTCTTATGATGTTCTTGATAACATTTCCCTTTCTCTAGCTTACTTGATTGTAAGAATACAGTATATCATACATGTAACCCACAAAATACATGTAAAGCAACTATGTTATCTGTATGGCTTCCGTTCAACAGTAGGCTATTAGTAGTTAAGGTCTTGGGGAGTCAAAAGTTATACACAGTCCAGCCAGCATGGTTCAGTGGTTGAGCACTGACCTGTGAACCAGGAGGTCATGGTTCAATTCCCAGTCAGGGTGCATGCCCGGGTTGTGGTCTCGATCCCCATTGAGGGACGTGCAGGGGTAGCCAATCAATGATTCTCTCTCATCATTGATGTTTCTATCTCCCCCTTCCTCTCCCTTCTTCTCTGAAATCAATCTATAATAATAAAAACATAATATGCTAATTAGACCGGACATCCTTCCGGACGAAGTCGAGGTGGCGGGGGCCGAGACAGAGGCGGCCGAGGTGGCGGCCAAGCCCCTTGCACAAATTTACAATTTAAAAAAAGCTATACACAGATTGCCAACTGCTAGGGATATCGCTCCTTTAACCCCAAGAGTCAAGTGTAGCTGACAATGACATAGAATAGATTGCACCCAACTGCTTACTATGGAGCCCTAGGCTGAGGGTATAAACACGGTAGGAATGATCGCTGCCCTGGCAGGATGCCCCCCCAGTCGTGTCACTAGGGGGGGCCTTCCTATGGGAAAGACCAAGCACTAAAGGCATTCCTCTCTCTCCTTTCCAGCGTGGAGCTCGACTTTAAGCAGCAGGAGGACAAACTCCAGCCGGTTCTGAGGAACCTCCACCCCTTTGAGGAATCTCAGGTTGCCCCTCCGCCTTACTCTCAGGAGACGCACTCCTCAACGCCCAAGCAAAAATCCAAAACGGAATCTAAAAAGCACGGGAGGTGGAAACTCTGGTTCCTTTAACACTCGTGGTGTCTGGAGTCGACAGGCCGTCTTTAGAGCCCACGGGGGTTCAGCCCGTCCTTTTCCGAAACGAAGAGGACCCAGGGAACCGTGCCGCCGCGGGCGCCCCCCTGTTTACCAAAAAGGCCTTCGTACTAACGGACCACCGACAGCGAGGGGGTCCTGTCGCCGCTTGCCGGCGGCTCCCTCGCCGTCCTCGGATGTGAGACGTGAAACACTGAACAAAACTTAAGGCAAAGGGGACAAGTAGCCACGCTGCCCCCACCCGGCTCGCGGAGCGTGACCGTCAGCCTGCGGTCGGCAGGCTGGCCCCTGCGCACAGCTGAAACCCATCACGACTTCCAAGCCTTCATTTTAAAGACGGAGAGAGAGAAAAGCAAGCCTTATGTTTGCAACAGACTTCATTTTTTTACCTTTCATTTTGCAACTACGCAGGGGCAGGGGCGGTTTTCAGCACATCCAATTCCGGAGAAAGCACAACTTTTTCAAGTGGTCGGAGACCATGACTCATCTCTCACATGGGACGCTATGTGTATCTGCCTTCACGTGCTGTAGCGCTCAGCCAAGCGACCCCATCTCGGGGCGTCTCTGACCCCTGACACTCAGCATCCCCCACATCGCCACACCTGCGCCATGTTTACTGCTCACTTCCCGACGGCCAGCCGCCAGGAGCCCCCCAGCGTCAGGTCAGGCCTGTCGCCGCTGCAGGTGACCGGGCCAGAGAGCTACTGGACACACTGAGCTTTCTGAGATCTCGTTTTTAATCTTTTGATACCCAAAGGCCAAATGCTGAATTCCAGCGAGAATTCGAGAACCCACGTACGTAGAGATACACAATGGATAAACACCGTCACCAGTAAGTCCCGGGCGTTCTCTGCCTCGGGGAAGCGTCTCTGTGAATCAATCTCGCAGACATGGTTCCTCAGGGCGCAGGCAGGCGTCTGGTACCATCTGTTGCGCCTTGTAACAATGGGGCGGCCTGACCGCCTCAGAGAGCAACAGTGTGTTTAGTTCAGCTGCTACTGTCACCCGCGTAGGATCGCCTACACCTAACCTAGTCGTAACCTGTACGCCCTGAAATGCCTAGCGGGAAGCTGTGAATCAGATGTTTCTAGGTATTTTTTCAATAAGCCAGGACAGAGGTCTCTTTTGATTACACATTGCAATACAAATCTGAGTTCCTTTATTTTTTCACTCATTCCTTTGCAAGTATCTTTTGATAGAAATCAAAACCCCCTGGTCTATTGAATGACTTTGTCTATCAGTGTTTTTTTTTTGCTTTTCACAAGAAGAAGAAGTAGGGATCTCCTTTTGCCTTTTTTTTCCGTACAAATTAAACTTTGAATAGTTTGTGAACATACGAGAAAACCTAGTCTTCGAGTTTCTGTCCCACCGTCTGACATCTAAGCTACTGCCGACACGCACACGTCGCGGATCAGCTGCCGGGAAGGAGCGGTGGCTCCGGGCAGGGCCGCCGCCGGCATCGGGCATCGCCGGAAGGAGAGCTGCTCCTTGCCTTGCGTTTTCCTCCTGACCCAGCAGCGAGTCTGCTTCTGTCCCAGGTGTGTCCATTCTACAGGGCCCTCGCGGTGGTCAGGCCTCAGAGCAGAACCTGAAACCACGCAGGCAGCCATCCTTCGGGAGTTCCTCCCGCCGGCCCTCAGCCGTCCGCTTTAATTGCAAGAAAACACACATCTTTCGTGGAAACGCCGCACAAGGGACTCGGATCCTTGGAGGTCAGTCAGCGGGACTGGGAGCTATTTTTGTGCGAAAGAAGGACGCAGCGGAGGGTCCCGAACCACGAAGGAAGAGCGACTGTGTCACGGAGACGTGGAATGGAAAACACGTGTTTCATGTCTTTTATACTGTTTTTCACTGACGTTTAAAATGTTCGCGACACGTTGTCTCTCCTGTGTCCCGATCACCCCCAGCTCTGGGTGACCGGAAGCGAGGGGAGGCGCGGCTTTCTAACGAGCCCGATAAATCCGCCCACACCGCCCTCGCACACAAAGCGACGTCCCTGGGGAGAGCAGTCTAGGTTCAAAACAACGACAAATAAAATGCGCGGAGTCTGAAGGAGACTGAAGATATGCTCACTCCTATTTAAAAATAGCACCTTCTTTGGAATAGGGGAAAAAAAAGTATTTCCAAAGGCATTTCGTAGTTTAATCACAATGTGTCACTAACATGATGCGTCTCTTAGAAAGATTCAAGTCAAAACTTTGATACAAAAAACAAGGTAAACAGTCGTGTTCCTTCCTATATAGATGTTCCCATGGCATTACGTATAGAGACTAAATTATTATACTTGTCACTAAGTTCTTTATTAGTTTTTAAATAAAAAAAAAAAGAAAGGTAATGTTCTGTGTGGCTATTTAACTTATTTCATGGTCGCGGTAACTTGGGAAAATAGAAGTCAATCTAAGAAAATAATGACAAAGGAAAAAACTTCATCGGGCTGAGAGAGAGAGAGAGAGAGAGAGAGAGACC